AAAGACGCTTGATGGTAATAATATTTATAATGCTAGAAATGATATTGATAATAATGATGATAGTAGTAGTAGTAATAGTAGTAATAAAATGATAGTAATAATAATCATAACAACATCAAAACAACAACAACAATAATAATGATTATAGTAATAATGATAGTAATAACAACAACAACAATAATAATAATGATAATAATAATAATAATGATAATACTAATAATGATAATAATAATAATAATAATAATAATAATAATAATGATGATGATAATAATAATAATGTGATAACACTAATAATAATAGTAATAATAATAATAACAGTCATAATGATTATAACAGTAACAATGATGATACCGAGGCCAACAATTTTATAATGATAGCGATGACAGTAATAACAGTGATGATTCTAATAATGACAATGATAATCATACGTGATATAAAGTATTTAAGGAAACAATGCTTTGTGTGCGTAGAAATACTGATGGTCCAGCGAAAGCACGAAACGGTTATCATACCTTGGAATTGGAACTGTAGTGATATAGAAAGAGAGAAGAAAAAACATAAAGAATGATAAACGTAGACTGATAAAGGCCGGGAGTCAAAGAGTTAGATTGAAAGAGAGGGAGAGGAGAGAGAGGGGGGGGGGAGGAAGGGGGGGGAGGGGAGGAGGAGGAAGAGAGAGAGTGAGAGGGGGGAGGAGGAGGAGAGAGAAAGGGGTGGGGGAGAGGGAGGGGGAGGGGGAAGAGAGAAAGAGGGGGGAGGGGGGAGGGAGGGAGAGAGAGAGGAAGGGAGAGAGAGAGAGAGGAGGGGGAAAGAGAGAGAGGGTGGGAGGAGAAAGAGAGAGGAGGGGAGAGGAGAAAGAGAGAGGGGGAGGGAGGGGAAGGAGGGGAAGGAGGGGGAGGGAAGGGAGAGAGGGAGGGGGAGAGGAGAGAGAGAGAGAGGAGTGAGTGAGTTAGATAGAGCCATATAGAGAGAGGGGGGAGGGGAAGAGAGATAGGGGGGAGGGGGAAGAGGGGAGAGAAAAGGAGGGGGAGGAGGAAGAGAGAGGGGGGGAGTGAGAGAGAAATGAGAGGGGGGGGGGTGAGAGAGAGAAGGAGAGGAGGAGAGGAGCGAGAGGGAGGGGGAGAGAGGAGGAGGGAGGGGGAGGGAGGGAGAGGGAAAAGGAGAGAGGGGGAGAGAAGGAGAGAGAGGGGGGATGAATGAGTTAGATAGAGAGCCAGTTATATATATATATATAGAGAGAGAGAGGGGTGGAGGAGGGAGGGGGGAAGAGAGAATGGAAATAATGGATGAGTGATTATTGTCAGTGAGAAGTAGTGAAAAAAATTAAATAGAAGGGAGAGAAAAGGCAGAATATACAAAGGGAGAAATAGTCGAAGCGAGCGAGGGGAGACGGAGGCGGAGGGAGAGGGGACAGGGAAGGGTAAAAGATGAGGGAGAGGGGGCAGGGAGGTAAGGTGAGGGAGGGGACAGGGAGAGGGGAAGGCGAAGAGCGAGAGGGACAGGAAGGGTGAGGGAGAGGGGACGAGTCAGGGGAGGGCTAAGGGAGAGGGGAACTTGAAGAGGAGAGGGGTAGGGGGACGAATCAGGGGAAGGAGCAGGGCAGCGATAAAGGGGAGAGGGGAAGGGGTTAGAGTGGAGGCCGATGGGAAGGAGAGAGGGGAGGGGGTCGGGCCAAGGGAAGGGGGAGAGAAGGGACCGAACCAGGGGAAGCACTAGAGCAAAGGGAAGGGGAGAGGGTGAGGGGACGAGCCAGGGGAAGCGCGAGGGGAGCAGGAAGGGGGTGGGGGGAGAGGAGAGGGTGAGGGGCCCAGCCGTGCAGAGCGCCTGGGGGTTCACGTGGTGCGACAACCGGCTGGCTACACCCGGCCTCCGCCACACCGAGCGGGTAATGTGAGGTGGCCTCAGGGAGCGCTGTGGAATCGCTGGCTCTGATTATATTTTTATGGCTCTGACGTTCCTTTGGTATTGTTTTTTAAGCTTTTACCACCAGAGACTATCTAATTCATCCGAGAAATTATACGTTGGGGAAGAGGGGTTTAAACACCATCATTTTTTTCCAATGGATATCCCTTCAGATCTTCATGATTTTGGGCGTGGATGCAGCTGGCTTTTGTATGTGTCTGTATGTGTGCACGTGTCGTTAAACAGCTGTATCAGAGGTTGTGATTTTTTTCTCTACCGAACCAATATATACATCAACCGTATTACTTTTCTGACATAGGATATGGGATGAATATTTCATTATGGATATCTTATTAGATGTATCTATATCTATCTCCTGGATTTTGTTTGAAACACGATTATTTTCGTTATACTAATACTGTTGGCACTGTGTATCTCAGTTAACTTTTCTGACACCAAGTAGAATTTTCAATCAGTTGCCTTCAAAATATATTCTCTTGTGTCGATGGAACGGAGATACCCCATTCTGTAACATAACTGTTGTCATTTCATTCTATTTTATATCTCAAATTCCGTCAAATATCAAAATGGTTTCGAA